AACCCAGAACAATGCCCCCCTCCCTAGGCCCAACCCAAGATAGAGGCCTGTTCCCGCTCTGTCCTTCCCCCTTGCCATCTCCAGCATCTCCCTTCTGTTAAATGACTCAGACTAACCCTTCCCGGAAGAGGGGACACAGAACTAAGAGGCCTCCCCTGCCACCCTGCCAGCCCCGCACAGAGACCCGGTTTCAGTTCAGGGGGCTCCTAAAAGCCCCCTACAAGCCAAGCAGCATCCTGGGGCGGCAGCTCCCAGCCCTGGCACTTCACTTCGAGGGTGGTGCTGCCTCCTGCCATCGGCTGGGGAGAGCGCATCCAGGAGCCCGGAGCAGATGTCTGGCCTGAGTTCAACCTGCTCACGTTGGCCAGCAGTAACACGGCAGACACTGCGGGGAGGGAGGAAGGGCGGAGGCTCTGGCCCAGCAGCTGGGGACAGCCACAGGAGACACCACCTCCGCTCCCTCTGGGGGAGGAGGGCGGGAGGGTGTTTGTGTGTGACTTGCGTGCGGTGCCAGTATTCCAGGGTGGAGGCCTGGGAGGGTCGGCCTGTCGCACTCAGCTCCCCAGATGGAGCCCACGGCCCCGTGCCAGGCGGCCTGAAGGAGCTGCAGGAATCTGAGTCTGTCAGAAAGGGAAGGCTTGGGGCCCGGCTGGCTAAACCGCATACCCCGGCCCCTCCAGGACACACAAGAGCATCTCTGGTGTCCTCTCCACGAAGATTGGATGTGGCCCCAAATCCTGCTAAGCGCAGGGCTCAAGAACCTCTCTCTCGTCAACAGAGCTGGCACCGGGGACGTCTTGTCCTGCGGGGTATGGAGGCGCCGGGGCTGCCAGGTGTGCTGGCTGAGGCAGCCTGCGGTACTCAGGGACCTGACTCTGTCTCCCGCTGAGGAGTGCGGCCTCGGTCCCACGGTGGGCCCCAGGCAGCTCCCAGCCCTCCTCCGCGGCCACTGCTCCCCTCACCGACTCCCTCCTGGTCATCCCACCATGCCCCTTGGCTGGCAGGTTGTAGCTCTGAACTACTACCTGCACGCACAGCTATGGCCACTCCCCACAGCGCACTGTGCCGCCACTCGGTTTCCAACCGACTGACTCGATTCAGTCCGACGAACTGCAGGGAAGGCCTTCTGCCCAGGGCGGGGGCAGCGCCGCCGGGCTCCGGGCTGTGGCTCAGCCTGGGGGAGGCTCCTCTTCCTGTATCTCAGTTTCCCCTCCTGTCAAGTTCAGAGAACCACGGGACCATCTCCCAGGCTGAACACGGATTTGACTGTTTAATACGCGGAAAAGTGCTTAGAACAGTGACGAGCGACTAGTCAGTGCTCGTGAGCACCCCCTGAATGTCAGCGTCAGCCATGTCAATAGTGTTCCTACACTGGGAGCTTAGAGTCAGGCACCACAGACAGAGAACACAGAGCCACAATGCAGAGGGACAAGGCTATGACCGAGGGAGTGCTGATTCACGCGCGATGCCGGGCGAGTCGCTTCACCTGTCTAGACTCTCATCGGTTCACCTGTAAAATGTGGGGGCAGAAAGCTGGCACTCAGTGGCATGAGCACCGAGGATGAGAGACTGAAATCACTCTTCTACAGACGCAGCTTCTGTATTCGGAGAACGCACAGGCGCGTGGACGAGAGAGACGCTGAAAGACGAGAGCGCGGCCACGCCAGGCGGCGCCCCAGACGGCAGAGGCGCGGAGACCCCGCTCCCGACGACGCGCTCGTGGACGGAGCGGGACAGGGCGCTGCCAGCTGCACGCGCAGAGTCGCCATTGCACAGCAAGCCCGTGAGATGGGTGGTGTTTTAATTTTTCTTTTAATCTATGAGCATAATGGAGGGGGCTCAAAGAGGTGCAGTGACTTCCGAGGTCACGCAGCTAGGAAGTGACCAGTATCCCCACTGACTTGTCTGGCCCCATGGCTGGGGCTCAGGACCGTTGTCCCCTCCTGCCTCTCTTGAATATTTTCTCATCGTACTCAATCTTCTAACAAGTCTGAGAGGAAGCCAGTGACAAGGAGAGTAACTGAGGCCATTTGAGGAGCCAGACTCAGCACGGCTGGCGAGCAGCCGCTCAGACACCATGCTGCAGTCCCTTGGGGCGGCTTCGGAGCCCAGCGTCCCCAGGCCTGGATTCGGAGCAGTTTCCTGGGGAGGGCTCCAGGCCCCAGATGGAACATCTAGGAAGAGTCGCAGAGGGGCCGTACCCGCACTGGAGCTCCCCTTGGCACGGCCCCTCGGAACGCTGTTAAGGCCGCGCTCACATTTGCCTGATGCACTTTCTTTTATAAGGAGAAAAATGAACCGATACCCTGACCGAAGCCCTTTTATGGTTTTTCCTCTCTTAAAGTGCACATTTTGAAAAGTGGAAACTCCCTCCCATTTTCAAACTAAGCTCAGCAGCTGAGCGATTGTAAGCGTTGACTTGTTAAGGATTTTACCAGTGACATCTTGTGGCCACTTTCAAGAACTGCAAGATCGAATCTGCGAGAGGGAGCCCAGATGCCTCTAGGAGACACCGCCTGGGCGAGTCTCACCCGCACTATGTCTCACCGCATTATGTCCTCTCTGCGGGGCTGGCAGGGTAGCAGGGGAGGCCTCTTAGTTCTGTGTCCCCTCTTCCGGGAAGGCTTAGTCTGAGTCATTTAACAGAAGGGAGATGAAGGGACTCAGCTGAGTGTGGCGGCAGTCCCTGTCACCCAGAGAACGCTCAGGCCCCGCCTCCGTCTTCCTGTGCCCAGGTGTGTCCCTCCTCTGATCTCGGCCTACCCCCCACCTGTAAAATGACCAACATGAGGCCAAGTCAGCTCCGACACTGCGGCTCTGTCGCTGCCTTCCCGCCAGAGGAAGGAGACACGGCACCCCTGCTGTCCTCACCTGAACACGCCGGAAAACGCTTCCTGGATACCTGAATTCTTTATCATTTCCAGTTCAAACCCTTTGCCTTATTTTTTCTAACGGGGTGTTTGTAGGTCTTCTCTCTCCCTTAGAACAGTGACTAGTAAGTGACTAGTCAGTGCTTGTAACCGCTCCTTAAATGTTAGCTATGCCAGTGGTGTTCCAGCACTGGAGACGCCACTCTGAAAGTGTCCCCACCCGTGGGAGCTCGCGGGCAGGCACCACAGAGTTCTTTCTACACAACGCGGTCGCCCCAGCAGCCAAAGCAGCCATTCAGTCAGGCTCCCCTCAGGCCGAATTTCCACACTACCACAGATCTGTAAAGGGGTCTACGCGGTTACGCTTTAAAATAAAGTGGCTCTTTTTCTTTCAGAAAGCTCCAGGTGCTATCAAAAGATGCTGAATGAATTTACTAAGGGAAAAACAATGTTTCTACTATTTTTGCCTTTGGTTAGGACAGGCAGAAAAAAATTAGCTCATCTGCTAAAAGCCATCAATCAGCATTCAAGCCCTTGGAGCCGCACCGACTGGTCAGGGACAGAGACGACCCACCTTTAACTTACCGCGACCTCCCCTTCCCAGCTTAACCTTCCTTCCTGGTGCCTGGACTCTCCTGCCCAGACACACGGGGCTCCTCAGCGCCTGCTGAATTAAACACACACGCCACACTCGGGCCTCCTCTTCCACGCTCTCCCTTCCGACCGCCCTGCTCAACGCCGCGGGCAGAGCCAACTTCGGTCTCCTCCCCAAACACACCCTGACGTCCCCAAGCCCATGGCTTTGCCGGCCCTCTTCTTTTCTCTCTTTAACAACAGGGATAACCTCTCTTCCTGCCTTAAGCGTCATCTCCCCAGCTGAAGGCCTGAAAGGAGGAAGCTGGTTCTTCCTCCCTGGGCCCCAGGGGCCAGCTCGGCGCCTGGCACAGAGCATCAGTAAGGTCTGTTGGGCTCAGTCGAATGCACAAAGGTTTGCCGCGTGCAAGAGAGAATGCGGTCCACTGCCACGTGGGAACTAAGCGTGCTGACGGAGACAAAATCACTTCCTGGCTTGGGCGTGCACTGACCAGCCTCCCATATAAAGGCGGAGAGAAAGCTGGGAGGCACTGGCACGCAGAGAGCACCTGCTCCCCCACGAAAACACACTCCGTTCCCCTGGCAGCCCTCAATAGCCATCGGGCTCCCCATTTTACCCACGATACACCGATTCTCAGAGAGGTGACCTTCCCTCAGCTCGGAAGTGGCCAGTCCAGGCTTGCTGGACTTCTCCAGGCTCCCCTGGCAGGAAGCTAAGGGTACTACCCAATCCTAAGACTTTACTTGCCACCCATTGTCATTTAGCTGGGTTTTGGGTGGGGCCGAACAGCCCAGCAGATGACGGCTGTGTGCCCAGGAAGGAGCTGTGGCTGAGCTGCGGCTGCGTCCACACAACAGCAGCTTCCATCAGAATCGGACCTCCCTGGGCGGCCACCTCGGCTTTCCTGCACAGCGCGCGTCCTGTGCGTGCCCCGCACCAGGGTCCACCTTCTTGTCCTCGTGCTTTAGCCCAGTCAGGGAGTGAAGATGCTCGCCCCACCCTCTCCAGCCCATCCCCTCCTGACGCTGCCTCAGTCCTGAGCCCCATCACTCTGCCCAGGCCCCCTCAACCTCCCTGCTGATTCTCTAACAATCCTCCTGGGCAAAGGAAGAGTATGCTACGTCCCTCCTCGCACTCTTTCAAAGGCCAACCATCACCTTCGAGGTCAAACTCAAGTTCAGTAACTTGACATCCGCAGCCAGCAGTGATATTCAAGACAGGGAGCAGCCTGTGCAGCTTTTCTCCAACATCACTGGGCACCACACAGAACAAACTCCCACCCCAGGCCACAGTGCTGGGGCAGGGCCTGCGGGGCCCGGTGGGACCCAGCGTCGACTCTGGCTGCTGAGCTGTAGGGTGGTCCTGGGGTCCCCTCCAGGGCGGTGCAGGGCTGCCAGAGGCACCTCGGGAACCAGAGTCAGAGGGAGGCACTCCGGCACCCTAACACCCAGTGCAGCCTCGCTGCGTGTCCCCTGCATGTCGGCTCTGCACACGGCCCACAGTGAACGTGCCCCTGCCGAGGCCCCAGCTCTCACCATCACTGCTGTCAGGGACAGGGAAGGGCCTCCTCTGCCTGGAACGCAGTCCTCCAGTCCTCCGGTTCCACAGCCGGGTGTCATCTGAGGTCAGCCATCCCTAGTCCCGGGCATGAGTAAGCGCCTTGTTCTTCCACCAGGATCCTGGAGGGCTCCGTGCACAATCGCTCTGGCGGCTGCTGCTTCCCTCCCCCACTGGCAGGGTCTTTGCCTTGTTTCTCACTGTCCCCACCGCCCTAGCAAGAGAACCGGCACGTGGTGACTGATGAGTAAACATCTGTTCAATTGAGCAAAATTGAGCCTTAGGCCTGGGGGAGTCTGTGTCCACAACTCAAGACACAACCAGGCAGCAACAGTGCCTTAGTGGCATTTTCTGTGCAACCACCACCACCCACAGCACCCGATGGCCTCCAGTGTGTCACTGTACATCCTTCCCTGTATGTTTTCAGCATCAGCTAGAAACACACACGCATTTATATTTATAAATTTCACTTATGCCTCTTAAACTCTTATGTACACTAAAGCTACTGTTTTGGACAGTAAAAAATACACACTAATGCATTTTAAAGGTTAAAACGATGTATGTAGAAATTCGACGCTTTCTCTTCCCATCTCAATGGGCCATCCTGCATACCCCTCTGGAGGCCTCTGCTAAGGTGCAGCGTGTCCTCCCAGCACATGCACAAGTCTATAAAGTGGCCCTGTCCTCGAGGGCCAATCTGCACAAAATTCTAGGTTCCAACCAATGACCAGAGCAGGTGCTAAAAGGAGATTATCAGTATACCTGGAAGCTACCTTAGGGACCACAAATTCTATGCTCTACAGAAAAAGTTAAAATTAGAAGGGAAAAACCCTGTCCGCTCAGCATCCTCTGTGGGTGGCAGGTAAGATCTGGAGGACACAGGCAGTGGTGCTCAAAGGGCAGCCTCCCCCAGGGGACACTGAGCAATGTCTAGAGGCATTTTTGGTTGTCACAAGTAGAGTTGTGCTACTGGCACCTAAGGGGCAGACGCCAGAGATGCCGCCAGCTATCGTAACGTGCACAGGACACAGGACAGCCCCCACCAAAGTGGAGAGCCCAGGACCGGGAACCTTGCTTTGGAAGGTCTAGAAGAGCTAACGGGTCCTGCCTCAGTGCTGAATTTACGACCTGTGTGACGCTGAGCAAATCACTTAACTTCTACAAGCCAGGGCGACACCCACTGAGAAACGCGTTCCCTGAGTACTGGGACCTGTTCCCTCCTCCACCTCCTAACGCGCATCAGAGCCGTCTGAAGAGCACGGAACGAGCCCAGTGCCCAGGCTACACCCCACATGAGTAGATCAGAATTTCTGTGCAGGCCCGGACATCAGTCATTGCCAAGTTCTCCAGGTAAATCCTATGCCCAGCCAAGGATGGGAATTCCCACCCTAATTCCTGCAGAACTTGATGGCACCTGCCTAACTCCTTGAAGAGGGTCAATCCACACTGGCTTGAGGCTGCATCTGTTTAAAACACATTCACATCACCTCTGGCTTACTTTCTGCCTCTCGGTATATTTATATGCGAACTGGCCTTAGAGCTCACCTTTACCTATGGGCTGGTGGGCGGGGTGGGGGGGCGGTCTCTTCATCCCATTAGGACACATTACCCACCATAGGTACCCCACAAAGCAGGAACAGATGAACAAATATATGGAAGGGCACATGTGCATTTTGTCAGGGACTTTCTGATCACGTGTCCGCCACAACTAATATGCCAGTTTCAAAGATAAAGGGCGATAAAGAGACTGCAGTTTAAAAACCATTACAAAATAACACATGACTGGTCAGGTGAAAGTCTCGATTCTCCTAAGCCAGACATCGAAACTAAAAAAAAAAAACAATGGGAAACTGTTGAACTCTGAGGTAAGGCCATGGCTCACAGCTACACACTGGTGATTTTTCAGTACACTGTACTAAGTGAGGACCAAGGGTGGTGCCAAAAACTCAGTGTAGTCCGACAGCTTTATTACACAGACACAGCTTTAAAAGGTAGCGCACTGCCCTGTAGAAGCTGCTGCTACACAGGATCTAAACAGAGAAGCTGAGCTCCTCAGAATTTCTGAGCTATTCGCCAGAGCTCGGTTCTCCTGCGTCCCAGGCTCCCCCCGCGCCCCCCCCCATAATGCAATAATCTTCTTTGTTTCAGTATAGCGTTCAGAGAGTTCTCTGCCTTCTTTAAAACCAGCTTGAGGCATAACCAAGATCGCCGATTTCTTGAAAAGCCACATCGGCCGTAGGCGCACCTGCTGTGTCACTGGGCCCCCGGGTCAGCCGCCTGCTCCAGGGCGCAGGTGTCCTCCACTGGCGGTTTGGGCAGGTGCAGCATGGTGGGCGAGTCCTGCCTGGGGCTTCCCGTCACCAACACCCAGTGGTTCCTGGGCTTTTCCACTCTGTGTGAATCCAGGTGTGTGTGAGCGGCGACCTCGGCTTCCTTTCCAAAATAGGTACTGGAGCAGGAAGGAATGAACACGGACTGGAAATGGAGAAAGGCCCTGGGCAAGCTGCCCCTTTCACCTCGAACGCGCCCAGCTCAGCAGACTATGTGAAGCCCCCCGGGGGATCTCTAGAACACAGCGTGGCTGCCGGGGCGGCCCCACCCTGTTTGGGCAAGGATGGGGAGCGTGGACTCCCACTGCGGCTGACATCCTCTTGCTGCCGACGGACTTGTACAATGGAAGGGGCTCTCACAGGACTTTTTACACCATCGAAGTTCTACGTGACAATATTTCATCAAAGGACTGTTTTTGTGTGTTGCCACACTCCTTAAACGGAGGAGTTTCTTTGCTTATACTCACAAACTCCCCACCCCCACATGGCATTTTGCTGTACCCTGCACCACAATACCTTAAAAAAAGATGCCGGTGGGCCGCCAGTCCCCGATTCGTGTGGCAGTGATTGATGAGAATTTTTACATTTGCCTTTAAAGATACAGAAAGTCTGTTATTTGCATTACGAGTTAAAGGCCTTCAATTTCCTATAAGCAAAAGCATTAACTATACCATATACATATGTACACACACACATATATATGTACACACACATACTCAGAATTTCTGCACAGGCCTGGACATCAGTCATCGCCAAGTTCTCCAGGTAAGTCCTATGCCAGCCAAGGACAGGAACCACCACCCTAACGCCCGCAGAGCCTGGCAAAGGCCAGCTGAAGAGAGGGAGTCTGTCGGGCGAGTGTCGCTGAGGACCTCGAGTCCGCGGTCCAAGTCAGGAGAGGGGCCCGTGCCCCGGGCCACTGCAGAGCTCGGGGGGCTGGGGGAGCACACTGTGTCTGCTGGGGCTTCCTCTAACAGCCGCCTCGGCCGGCCAGCCTTTAAACCAGTCCCCGCTGTAAGGCCACACTCCCCATGACTTCTACTGCCTCACTCTCCTTCAGCGCCGGGCACCTGGGAGTGAGGGGCAAGGTCTCCTGGCCAGAATACCTCTGTGCCCGCCAAGCTGCTGCCCGTCAGGACCGCACCTCGGCCCCATCCGCAGGGCCCTGGGTCCTGAGAAAACGCTCGGCATGAGAACAGAAATGTGCCACCCGAGGGACCCCCGTGTTCTCCTGGGTGGCTGCTGTGTCTCCTTCCTTCCCCAGTCTCTTTAGCAGAGAGGACTTAACAGAGGCCCAGAAGGAGGCGGTGTCATCATCCTTCCAACCTCAGGTCAGGGGTTTTCAGCCTGGTCTTGGGCAGGGCCTGGACCCCAGGATTTTTATAAAGCGCCACAGACAATTCTATGGTGCAGCCAGAGTTGAGAAACACCAGTGCAGGTTGCTGCCACAAAGCAAAATAATGCTTCCGAGCCTGACATACGGATGAAGGAAAAGAGGAAGAGACAGACAGAGACCAAGTCCAGAGGCCTGGGGCCATGACAAGCCTCCGTCCGCAGGCGGGAGGGAGCCGCCCGCACACCCCGCCACCCCATGCTGCGCCCCCATGCTGCCTCACCGGGACGGGGAAGCCTTCGTACTCCAGGCGCAGCTGGTGGTCGGGGAAGGCAGCCTGCCAGCAGTTCAGGTAGGAGACTTCATCTGTCAGGTACACTTCCTGCAGCCAAGACTTCTTAGACGACTTCAGTAGGGTCCTGTGGTCACTTGATAAATATAACTGAAAATGACAGAAAGCAGATGAGCCACGTTACAGTACTAGAAAAGCTGAGAAATAGAGAGCAATCGATTGGTTGGCTGCATGTCATGTTCAAAAGTAGTTTTCAAAACCCTGTTCTTACCAACTATATGCAAATGCTGTTTTTCTCCACCTTAAAAATGCCATCTCAGGTCCCAAATCACCTCAAACTGCTATTCCTTCTTTGGAACACCAGAAGCAATCTCCCCCTCTTACCTCATTCCCTCTTTTTCAGGGCACAGGGCCTGTATCAGCATTTAACTTGTGATAAACAATGCTGCATGAAGCTCACTGCAGGAACGGAAGTGCAATTAAAACCAACATCCCACAGCTGACATTCACTTCTGGGGGCGGGGAGGGGACTGCCCCTCTGGAATTGATGTCCATACTTGGAGTTTATTAAAGCAGCTATCTGGCATCTGGCTGCCTGTGACTTTGCCAAGAACTACCTTATCCTGCTGCTAGTGCAAAATGTTGATTCCTTGTTAGTAGCTCTTTACCCATTCACCTTCACCCTGAACCTGGAGGTCATTTCTGCCTATTTTGATAGGTTTGCATAGGCTAAGGTAGGCCATGAGGTGCTATGGAGAAATCAAAAATGAGTTACTGTCCGCAGGAAGTTTCCTGACTCACAGGATTAACGAAATGACCAAATATAGGTGTAGGAAGCGCCTGTCAGCACCTGTAGGTGTGGCTGTCCAGCGAGGATGCACGGAGCAGCAGGAGGCGGGGTGGGAGTACATGGTCTCCCAGGGGCTATGCGGGCCTGGATGGAGCTACTGGTACTGGGAATGAAAGACAGCCAAAATGCATTACGAACAGGGTGCTATGGGACTTGATGATGAGCTGGATGTGGGCGGGAAGGGGAGATGGTTCCAAGATGCACTGTGGCTCTGTCCCTGGGTGATGGACAGAATGACAGTGCATTCAGAGTAACCAGAAGACCCAGTCTTCAAAAGGCAAAGCACGTCTATCTCAAACCACAAACTCTGTCTTGTTAATGTAAAAAAAAAAAAAAAAAAAGATAATAAATCCAGAGCAAATCCAGAAGGCCACTGTCACCAGATTTACGAATGCCTCAGAATTCCTTGCTAAGTCAAAGACAAGAATAGAAATCAGGTATGAGAATTCTGAGAAGAGATTAAATTGTCATCATTTGAAGATGAAATGACTGCCTACCTAGAAGTCATGAAAATCAACTGAAGAACTATTCAAATTATAAGAGTAAGGGATGTCATCAAAGATGGAGATAAAAACCCATAGCTTTCTCATATTTTGTGGCAACTGTCGTAAGGACCTCCCTACAACAGCATCTAAAACAGACGACACAAGGGACAACCTTCACGAGACTGGTGTCAGATCCGTGTGAGAAAAATCACACAGCCTTATGGAGAGATCCAAAAGAGAAGTGAATAAATGGAGAAACATCTCAGAAAAGTAAACATTATAAAGTAACTAAATATGTGAATTTACTTAATTTTACAAGGTCAAAATACCGAGTGATGTTTTTCCCCACAGGGACAGAGGAACATGAAAAAAAGTATTATTATATTCAAGTGAAAGATTAATTCTTAATTCAGAAAAGAAGGGTAATGAGAAGAAACTAGCCCTACGAGCTGTCAAAGTATACCCTAAAGCTATAGTTCTAGAAGAAAAATAGACGACTCCAGTTCAAAGGATCAAAACAGGAATTTCAGAAAGAGCGTGCAGTGTATGGAACAACTCCATGGATGCTGATGAGGCGGCACGTGTCAGCGAAGAAAGGAACAGTCAAGAAATAACACAGAAACGACTCGCTGGTCCTTTGGGGGAAATGTGTGTTCACATAAAACCCTTTCTCAAAATAAATGCCCAACGGACCAAAGAATACACTTAAGCAAAAGTTTAACTTTAGACATCTAGAAGTTAATACGTTTTTCTTTTTATCGTATCCTTGGAGCAGACTTTAAAGCTCTGAGCAATGGAAATTACAAGGAAAAGCACTGATAAATTTTACTCAAAGATATATTGGAGCAACTATAATTTAAGAGCCAAGTAAGAAATGGGAGGAAATACTGGCAACAGACATGATGGAATTTTACGGTCTGTGGAAGAGCAGATGTGTACACCCAAACTGATCATCAGGCAAAGAACATGTTTACAGGATAGAGAAGGAAAAGGAAGAAGAGAGGAAGAAGAAAAAAGAGAGACAAACGAAAAGCAAAAGAAAGAAACGGTACCGAAAAGTTGCAGTCCTTGTCATTCTCCCTGCATTTGAAGTCTGTCCTCCCCCCTTATGGAACTTACGTAAGCCCAAGTGTTACAGTGCCGGTCTCTGGGTGAGAAAGACAGTGACGATTCACCTCCCTGCTCTCTCTAAGTTCTACGTTTACGATCAGGCTGCCATTCCCCATCTACGGTGTGCCACAGTTTAATCGCTAGCATTGACTTTTCTTAGTAGAAAAAAAAAATAACAGTGGTGCCACTTCATACAATGATGGACTCTCTGATTCAGGGAAAAATGTTACATGGTGCCAGCTCTGCCCCTTAGCAGCTGAGTGACTTGGAGCAAAGTCACTTGCCCTCATTGTGTCTCAGGTTCCCTAGATATAAAATAAGGGTAAAATAAGCTCTACTTCAGACTTGTTTGGAGGAATAAATGAGTTAATAAATAAGTAGTTAAGCACGTAGTACAGGGTAATAATCCCCATTTTATGAAAAAGACGAAAAAGACTCAAAAAGGTTAAATAAAGTCCCACCCCACAGGTATGCACCTCAGCTAAAATTTAACCCACATTTATCTGGTTCTGTTACACCTCCTAGTCCCCCAGGCAGAGGTCGAGATCAAAGATACATGCTGATTTATGCAAACTTGAGCATCTCATATTGTTCTTCTCTCATATTAGAAGTTTGACAATGAAAAGTCAAAAAAAACAAACAAACAAAAAAAAACAGTTGCCAGACGACATACCCTGCCATCGTTGGTGACATTAAACAGATGTCACATTATTATTACATAATCCTATCATTTAGCTTACAGGTGGAGGTGGTATAAATTTTTGCTTTTTGCCAGCTGCATTGCAAAAAGGTTTTTCTCCCTTATTCTTTAGCTTTTAAGGGTGTGGGTTGTTCTTTTTTTTTTTTTTTTTTTTAATTTGCAAGGTTAGAAAAAAAAGAATTGGCCTAAAATTGCTTGTGTAAAGCTGCAGTCTGGACTCATAATTATCAGAGATGGAGCGTGTGCCTGCAGAGTCCTCTGTGCACTTCGGTAGGTGGCCATCAGCCTACATGGAAACAAAATGACAGGTCCCAAATAGACACGCAACATGAGCACTCACCATGGTGTCTTCAAATCCCCCCGTTATCCCGAGGCGAAAGTTCTGCCCGTATCTAAGGACTTGACCGACGGCCTCGCTGTCCGCACTGTCCGTGGAGAACAAGAACAGTGGAGATTCTCTGAGTTCGGATGATTCTACAGCTCTGTTTCTCTGTGTGTACAGCTCTAATTTTCTCGATCGTGAATGTTTATGCACCATACCTGAATTATATCCCTACACAAAAGGTCTTTTCTTTTGGCCTTCAAATCCAGCCAGCTGCCTACCTCTGCCTCCCACAAGTGTGTCCCCACTGCCAGCTCAGAGTGGCGGAGCACGGCACGCTGCCCGAACCAAGAAGCTGGGTCAGGCGCAGGGCCGCCTTTAGTAGGAGCCAAGCTAACACACCGTAGACGCTTAACACAGTCTGCCCTCGTGGCCCTCCAGCAAGCACAAGCTGTCTGCATGTGAACTGTCTGTATTCAAGGGTCTAAACTGAAGACCTGGAGGGCTGGCTATGTTTCCTCTGTAATATAAACATAGCTGTCACAATTTAGTAACAAAGTAAAAACAATATTTTTAATTGTGATTATGGATCTAAGAATCTAAATGCCCATTTTCAACATCTCCTGAAGTACATTTATAGTGGACAATGAATTTTAAAACAGCAAATCCCCATGTGATGTCACCTTGCATTAAACTACACATTTCTAGAATAAAAATAACAGAAGCAGTCGTATGAGCTCCAGGCATTCTGAAATGTTATTAGAGAAACCCACTATGCTTCCAGACAAATATATGAATGATTAAGTCCCTGGATCCAGTGCCTTTGAATTAAGCATATTGAATTGAACACAAATTACCTATTATCCTGATGTTTAAGGTAAAGGGATTATGAAGGTCCCTTGAAAATAACTCTCGAGATGAAAAAGCAAAGATGAGAGCCATGGAGAATGTCGATGGAGCCTCTGCCTCCGGTCAGCCCTGCTCCAATCCTGGGCATCCTTAAGCTCCAAGTGAGAACAGACTTTTATGGTGAAAATTAGCTGACAATTAAATTGTCTTTACCTTAAAATGGTAAACGTGTTTCTGCCAACAGGGATCTTGGTTGGCGCTGCACTCAGGCCACAGGGCACCTCGAATTTGTCACTCAGATGGGCTCTAATCTCATGTGGAGTCAAACACAGGCTCAAGTCCCCACGGAGAAACAGATCAGCTTCTACCTCAGGATGGTCCAGATTCACAAGTATCACTTTGTCGCCATTGTGAACGTATCCGTCTTCAGTGATGGAAAGCTGCATCTACAGTTTAAACAGGGGTTTCCTAATAAACTGTGCAACCCCAAACACCAGTGCCCAGGCCACTGCAGACAGACCTTCTCTCCTACTGGGGCCCATCTCAATAAGGGGTTCACTGGGATCCCCTAAAACCCAAATCGCTTTTTTCCTGCGACCAACCCACTCCTAATGTGCTGAATCAAAGACTCTAATAATCCCAAATGAAGTAAAATGAAACCGATGAAAAATCTCCTGGGTTAAGTTCATTATTAATTTATTCTACATCCATTGAAAATTTGAGCACCAATTAAGGGGCGCTTTACTGCATTAATCTACTCATTTCTTAATTTGGAAAATGCAGGTAAACATGTCACAAACTTCTCTTGTGTCTGAAACCTTAGGGAATTTTTAACATTGTGGTTTTCAGATCTAAAGAGAAAAACTGGTATTTTCCAACGCTGAACTCATTTATGGAATTTTCACTTGCTTAACATAAACTCACACTTAATTTGATAAAATTTTGAAAATGCTGTTTGAATTTAAAATTACCGGTCTCAAAAGACACTCTTTTAGTCTTCTGTTTCTCTGTATGAGAAGCTGTCCCTTATCTCTCTTCTCTAAGAAGTCTTTCATGAGCTCCTGGTGAAAGAGAAAAGGATATATACAATGGAATATTACTCGGCCGTAAGAAGAGATGAAATACTGCCATTTGTAACAACATAATGGACCTCGAGATAATCATGCTAAGTGAAATAAGCCAGACAGAAAAAGTTGAAAATCACATGATATCACTTATGTGTGGGATATAAACCTAAAAGCAACAAACGAACAGGACAGACTCATGGACATGGACAATGGACTAGTGGTTACCAGAGGGCAGCGGGGAGAGGGAAGTAGATGGGGTAAATGGGGTCAAATATAAGGTGACAGAAAGAAATCTAACTATGGGAGGTGAACATGCAAAGTAAATATATATATATGCCTTACTGTTAAAATGTACAGCTGAAACTTACAGATTTCATTAACTGATGTCACCATAAAAAAATTAATTAATTAAAAAAAAAGAAAAAGAACTTTAGAACTGACAAGGGCCTTGGGAATAATTTTTTCCAAGTCTTTCATTTCAGAGATAAGGAAACTGAAATCCAGGAAATTGTGTTTTCCAAAGTCATGTATTAATGTCTGGAATAATCCATTTTGTATTTGTGTAGCCTTTTCAGTGCTTTCAAGTTTATCATCTTATCTTGTGCTCAACGATCCTCTGGGCAGTTCATAGGGAAGCTGAT